TGACTATCCTGCAGCTTGATATGCCATGAAGTCCAGTTCTGGAAGAGTGTAGGCCCTCCAACTGCTTCAGCAAGCGTCTGGAACCACAGGATCCTCTTGTCAAGAACCAGCAGAGTTACCATGCGCTTCAACACTTCCTCGCTCCACGAGCAGATGACCTTTGCAAGGGGGAGGCGCGTGTCACCCTCCTGGATCTGTCTGGACGTTTGTTCCCACAAGTCTTTGGCCAGCACTTCGGCATGCTTCTGTGAAAGGCCGGCGCTGGAGAACCTCTTGAGGCATTGGAAGACAGCGGTGGTCACATTGGGGCTTCCGGTCCGCACGGCATCTTGAATCCAATCAATCACTCGGTCCAGAGAGTCGAACATTCCCGTCGTGGAGTTACAGACCCAGGACAAGAATTCCAAAGCGCTCGAAGACCGGGAGAGAGGCATAACGCCGATGGATGACAGGAAGGTGGCAAGTGGAATTGCGGGGACCTCGAACACCAACCCATTCGTGTCACTCGTCCGTACATAGATAACCTGTCCATAGTTACGTCGAAGTGGTCTGCCTTTATGTCGATATGGTCTGCCTGTTATCCCTAGCCCTGGAATGTAACTCCAGCCCTCCACTGCCCGGAAATATCGGGCCTCATCGGACATAGCACCATTTTGGTATGCACACACGAATCCTTGGACCTGCTGTGCCGGGTTCAGGTACCAGGGCTTGGCAAGGACCTGCTCAAAGAGCAGATGGAACTCTTTGGAAAGCTGGCTGAACTTCGACCGGTCATGGCAGCTGTGGTCTAGCAGCTTGCAAAATGCATCTGGCGATCGGACAACAGCCTTAAAGATTCCCGTCTTCTGCCAGTCATGAACAACGGAACAGCCCTGCTCCGCAACCCATGCCGCTGGCGAGTCCACCCCATCGAAACTCAAGCTTACCCGGAAGCTCGGCATGTCTGGAAACAGTGTTTCCTCACTTGGGCGGCTAGGCAAGATGGTGAACTCGATGTTATTGTGCTCGCCGTCAGGCATGAAGCGTGAGAGGGACAAGGCCAACGACTGCACAGGCCACTGGGCAGTGCCGTTACAGGCTGCAAGCCTTGCTCGGAGGAGACTGTTCTCTGAACAGCGTTGAAATGGAGGATTGTCAGATGGAGTCGCCGCTTCCAAGAGCCAAGATACTTTGAAGGCCCGATCAGGTAGGACTGGTGCCACAGTCAACCTCATGGCCCGGCCTGTCTGCAACTCCAGCGGGTTGTACCTGCCGACAGTCACATTGATGTTCCCGCTGTTGTCCACGATGGCATGGACAGGAATGGTCAGCGGGGTGGTGCTGAGCAGAGATGCCTCCAAGTGCACCAAAGCATCAAACGGCAGCGGTGCACCTCGGCGTAAGCTCAGCTCCTGAACGTCAGAAGCCGTCTGCTGAATGCCCTCTGCCACCAGCGCAAGACTAAACTCCAAAGTGCCTTCACTGTTTGCTTGCCAATCTGGACGTACAAAGTCGAACTTCACCATGAGATCGCGTACCGGTACTCCAGGGCCACATCGCCGTCGATACCCTGTGCAGCCGTGCATGTGGCTCAGCATGTCGCCGTGTAAACGGGTTGCCTCGGCTGCAATGCCTGAGCACGACTGCTCGTGAAATCCGTGATGGTGCTTCGCGAAGTAGCATCCGCCGAGTCCGGAAAATGAAGACAGGCAATCTGCATCGACCTCGCAAGTGTCTGAGCATCCCGAAGAGCTCTTGGCGTACTCCGTCCATAAGTGGTCGCCCACCGGTGCTCGGCTAGGGACACCAACCACAAAGTCAGTCAAGAAGACTGTGACTGTCAAGTTGCCTGAGTGCTTGGGAACGCTGAGCCGACTTCCGGCCAAGGACCCCCAGCTAAGACAACGATGGAAGCCTCCAGCTTCGTCGGATATCCTGACTCGGACGGGCAATACCCGGAAGGGTGCAAAGCCGACACTGTAGCGCCGAGGAAGTTCTGAGGTGCGCCAGCCGGTTGCGATGAAGGTTGCAACCCGGGGGACTGGGACTCCCAAGAGATCGACGTTAGCTGTCATTGGCGAAGAATGCTTGGGTTGTGATCGGGGCAGCTCAAAGTGTAGTTCCTTGGTCGTGGGTGCAGTCGTAGCAATCATGGTGACCTCGTGGAAGCTGGAATCCAGAACAAAAGCATACCTGTCCTTCCATGGTGCGAAGTCGAGCGTGTCCTCCAAGGTCGCAGGCTGCAGACTGGAAAGCTGTCCACGGGAGCACAGGTAACCTGCTGCTCCGAAAGCTCCGCATGACATGAGCAAGGCCATCGCGAGCAGGAAGCTAGGCAAGAGCATGTAGGCAGCTCGAGATCCAGTGCAAGCAAACACCAGGCGGCGGTGCCACCCAATATCTCTGAAGAAGTTGAAGTTGCGACCGTCCCGCGGATGGTGTCCCAGGACCTCTTCAGGAAGCCCCGCCTTCAAGGGCGCTGCTAGCCCCACCGGATCCTTGCCGGCCCTGCATATCTCCACTAGAGTGGGCCAAGGCAGAGAAGAGGCGTCCGAGGTCTTCTTGAAAGAAACAAAGGCCTTTCCCTGCATGCGTACCTCGGCGATGAGGCGGTTGCCTTCCTCCTGGGATCGAATTGCATGGATGAGTGCCCAAACGGGTCCTGCCAGGTTGCCCACGACATAGACGACGAGTTTGGCAACCACCAGCATGTTCATCTCTCCCAGATTGCCCACCACCACAAGCAAAGCATAGAGAATAACAACACCGACCATGAAAGCCTCGGTGAGCTTGGACGTCTCCACTGCGAGAATGATGTTCTTTTGCAGAAGAGAGTTCACCAGCATCGCCCTGCAAACGATGTGGTGGAACCTCCAAACTGCAACGATGTTGATGCATAAGGAGAGGCCGGTGATGACCCAAATGAGCTGATCGGAGGCTGCCGTCTGAACGAGAACTGCGAGAGTGGAGGCTTGAAGAGTCTGGCCCAAGAGGATGAAACTCAATGCCTTGGAGCACTCGCCCAAGTCTTGCCAGGGGTTTCTCACAACCACGCTCAAGCTGCTTGTGCCTTCTGGCGGGACAGCGGCTGCATCTGTAAAAGCTCGCCACAGCCCTTCACAGGCCAAGACCAAGAGGAGGAGGGCCCATGCGAAGACCAAAATAACGAGGTAGTCTGGTATCCATGGTGAAGGGCACTGGAGCTCCATCGAGAGTTGCCACTCAATCAGGAAACTTTCCGCTGATGCCGGGAGCATCTGTGAAAGGTGCGTAGCCAGGCGAAAGCCGACTTCAAAGCCCGGAGGGTCCAGCTTGCACAAGCATTCTGGCTTCTCGGCCTCCACACAAATCCAGAAAGCACCTTGCTGGTCCGCACGCATCTGATGTGCGAATTTGGGGTCGATGAAAATATCGATGGTCGAATTGTTCACTGGATCATTGGGGTCAATCCAGGGGACTACAGAGGCTTTGCTCCCAGCTCCTGCCGTCTGAGAGCAGTCCGGGCTGGCCCTGATTGCATATGACTGCCCCGGCCGCAGCCGCCAAGAAACGCTTTTCATGTCTGCTCCTGTCAGCTGATACAAGCTCCGCCCGTCTCTGTCTTCCGCATGAACTTGATGGCAGCGCGCTGGGCAGGTGTCGTTCACAACGTCCTCCTTCTGTCCAGACTGCGGGAAACTGCTGTCCCGGAATGCGAGAACGAAGCCCTTGAAAAGGCCGATCCCTGGAAAGGACCATATATACAACTTGAAGCTGAGAAACGACGCTCTCATGGTTGCTCGAGAAGCTAATGGAGACTGGAGCTGTCAGGCTTGGACAACAGCAGCTGCAGATGCATGCAGGCTGCAACCATGGGTTCAAGCAAGACAAGCACGCCATGACCTGCACCGTGCGCAAGAGCGCTAAAACTGAGTGGCTGCAAAGTGGCTTGTGGGCCTCAACGGGGCCGGCACAACCGGACGACGCGGTGCCGGCTTTACATGCTTCACCTTCATGCAGGCACGGTGCGAGAACTGAAGGAAGGAAAACGATACAAGTGGTACTACTACGACAGTTTGACTGAACATCATCGACGATCGGCTGCAAAGCTACAAGTACTTCCTGGATTATCTACCATGGGCCGTGCAAGCAATCTCACGTCCGAGTGGGCCACCACCTGTAACATGAAATGGCTCTTCGAAGCCACAATACACATTCAGGTCTTACCGGACCGACTTTGGAAACCCATGGCATGCAGCCGACATGGCTCTTTCTCTCTTGCAGCTTTCGCAGCTCGCGTCGGACACGGCCTCAATCCTGTGACTTCAGATCTGGGCTCGGCTGCTTCGCAACGTACCCTCATCGACCTGCATGTCCTCATGAAAGGCTGAAGAGTTTCGGTTTCCGGGCGAAGATCTGACAAAAATCATTGCGTGCCCAGGCTTCCTGAGGGCAATCTTGCGTCTTGCAGGAGCCGGACTTCTTCCGCGCAGACTTCAACGGGCTCACCGGCTTTCAGCTCCGAGATCTTCTCTTCCAGCTCCTGGCATTTAGGGTTTAGGGTCGTCTTCCCTCTAGGGTTTAGGGTTTAGGATTTCGGGTTTAGGCTTGAGGATTTAGGGTTTTTTTCCCTCCCACCTAGCAACAGCGAGCCCGCATTGCAGGTTTATTTCAGAACAGCTGCATGTGCACAGTAGCTAGCAGGATTTAAGGTTTAGGGTTGAGGGTTTAGGGTCTAGGATTTAGGAAATTTAGGGTTTAGAAGGGTTGGGAATTTAAGGTTCAGGGTCCTGCAAGCCCTAAATCCATCTTGCAGCAGTCTGGCCTTTTGCAAGCGCAGCGCAAGGGACTCCGCCGAGTCTGGGTACGACAGCTGCGCGGCCGCCAGAAGCATCGGGGCCAGAAGCGCCAGGCGCCTGAATGCTTTTTGGGGCTTTTTGCTTAGGAGTTGGGTTTAGGGTTTAGGGTTTGGGGTTTATTGGAGTTAGGATTTTGGGGGACCCTTGGGGATACAGACCCTCTCAAAAAGGGCCCCTTTAAATTTACGAGAGCCATAAGTAGACCCCGGTGCCAGCCTTACAGCTTCTCTCAAACTTGGGGGCTTGGGAAGACTTGGGAGGAGGGTAGCAGCCGTGGCACGTCAGGCAGACGCCGAGAAGGCCCTCACAGGTGAAGCCCACCGCAGACAATGCCAAGCCTTCTGCAAAGTCGGTGTCTATGTGATTGAGTGCCGCATGTGTCAAGCACAGAAGCACTAAAGTTGCAGAGCAACATATCCTGCTGCCCTTTTCCCAAGCACCCGGTCAGAAGACATCAATCATGCAGTTCAGGAGCAGCAGAAGCAAAGGCACTGGAGCACGTTGATCTGCGGCTGTGCGAAGGGGCTGGCTACGGCGACGACAGCGGCCATGGTAAGGGCAACAGCCACTGCGAGCCACCGGGAATTCATGGCAGCCACCTTAGCGAAAATTTCAGCAAAGACCGCAGAAGAAAGAGCGGCTTGCAGCTTTCCGGGGCTTCTGAGACATGCAGTGGCAACTCCGTCGAGGGGCAGCGACCATCAACGCAGAAGCTGCTTTCAGCAACACCTCCATCCAGACCTTGTCACACTGCGCCTCGGTCACAAACAGGCTCCGCAGCACAATGGATGTTGCCTCTTGGCTCTGGCGTGGTCTTTGCAAATTGATGACGATGACAACGGCTAGGTTGTTCATCAGCCGAGACGGCTTGTGAAAACGATACTTGTGTTTGAAACTGTCGTTACCGTCACTGTCGTACAAATGAGGATGGCCAGAAAGTATCACAGCTCTCCCCGATGTCATCGGCATTTCGGAAATACTAGGACGATTGTGGCTGTTGCTCCTATGCCCTATGCCATGCATTTGAGCATCCGTCATCGACCTCCTCCTCCTCCTCGTCCTCTGTGTCGTCATCGATTGCGCCGTCGTAGCCGTCGTCGCTGTCGTTCGTCATCGCCGTCGTTGTCGGAGCAGCCGCAGCAGCAGCAGCAGCAGCAGCAGTAGGGAGGGGGGGCCTTAGCACTAGCAGCCTGCATTCTGAGAAGAATGGTCACTGTAGCCAGTTTCAACTGACACATTATAGAACAGGTATGGTTATATGGGTCAATGCAAGCTGAGGGCGCCGCGTACTTGCAAAGCAGATCTTTTGTACCCATCAACGATCCTTGGGTGGAAGATGGAACATCATGATCGGCGAACTGAGAATCGATTAACCTGCAGTTTCCTCTTGACCCACAAAAAGTCTCCATTATAGTTCATGTTTGGGCTGCCTTATCAGATCCTGGAAATAAAGCTGGTTAAACCCCAAAAAAGGGATGTACAGTGGAGACTATACCCTAAACCCTTTTGCTGCAGGCTTGCAAGCAAGAACACCTGGTAGATAGCCTGTGTTCCGCCAGCTAGCACTGCACTCACCCTAAACCCTACACGGTACGCCATGGCCAGAGCTCTGTCGAAAGCGTTCTCCTCAAGGATGGTGCGCTCCGTCAGCATTTGCATGAGATCATTCCGGCTCCTTGGCTCCGAAGCCGCATCTCCTAAGCCCCCAACACTCAAAAACTCCGGAAGACCCTAAGCTGCCCCAAAATCCTAAACGCTTCAAAAGCTATTTTTTGTTTGCACATGTTCCCCTAATACATGCAACCCTAGAAACCCCTGGAGTTTCCCTAGCAACCCCCCCCCCCCCAAAAAAAA